GAATCGGATGTGCCAATGCGCGATCCCCACTTCCCTGACGTGTTCCACAGGGCATCGAAGCGGCATCAAGGAGTAAAAGGACCGGGCCATCTGGCAACTCGCGTACATCTGCCCTTCTTGCCTCGCGCTGCAGCCAGAGAGCGTCTCAACATCAGGTGAAGCGATCATGGCATGCAGGTGGGGGGCTGAACCACCAGGTCCCTCCCCTCAGGTGCGCGAGGGGGACGCCGCTTCCGTCGTGACTGCAAGGGGGGCTTTCCTCCCCCCTCCGCGCGAGAGGGGCGCGTTTCCTGGACTGCATGGGCCCGCTCCCCCCCCCCCCCCCCTCGTTGCCATTTGACGAGTAGGGTCGAACATGTAGTGTCCGCGCCCATTGCGTTGCCATGCTACAACAACACCAGTCTGAACACATGTGTTTCGCTCCTTGTGTTGCCACGCCCACGAGCAGAACAGTATGTTGCACGCGCCAGGGCTGCCACCCGACGAGAATCATAGAAATGTGTGTTTGTTCGCGCTGTCATGCAGCGAGAAAGTAGGACATTAGATTTCCGCTCCCAGCGATACGATGCCACTCGTAGGGTTCACCAGTCTTTTTGCCGCCCCTTCTGCGTCACCATGTAAGTTCCCGAATATCAAGCTGTGTGTAGTCCCCTGCGCTGCCATGCGGCTAGTAGAGTTGCAGCCCCCCCACTGGCGTTGTTCCGCGGCGAGGAGGGAATAATGTATTTCCCCGCCCTCGCCGTCCTTGCGTTGCGTCGTGGCGAACATGCACGTACATCTATGTGTACGCATGCATTATTGGTGCGTGTATGCATGCATGCACGCATACATGTATATATGTACTGTTTGTATATGTATGTGTATGTAATGTATGTGTGTATATGCATGTGTGTCTGTACATATGTCTGTATGTATGTACATACGTGCGTGTGCGCATGAATGCATGCGCGTATGCATGCATGCATGCATGCATGCTGTCGTGCATGGATGCATGCATACATGTGTGTGTGTGTCTGCAATGATTCACGTATGTTTACATGCAGGTGTGTATGCATGCATGTATGTATGATTTTCCTTGTGTATGCATACAGTTATAAGTACATGTAGGTGTGTTCATATATAGATATATGTGTATGTGTGTATGTGTGTATGTGTGTATGTATGTATGTATGTATGTATGTATGTATGTATGTATGGATGGTTGTAGCTAGGTTTGCACGCATCCATGCATGCAAGCATGCATGCATGTATATGGGTATGCATGTATGTGTGTATGGTCGTTCGTTTGTTTGTAGGTATGTGTGTGCATGTATGCAGATATGAATGCTTGATTGGATGTGTGTGTATGTGTGTATGCATTTGCGGCTGTAGGTATGGTGTGTCTTCATGCATGGTTTTTGTTCGTCAGCATGCATGCGTGTATACATGCATGCAATTATACATGTATGCACGTTTGTACGTTTGCATGAGAGGATGCAGGTACGTCGTTGTGTGCCGATGTGTGCATGTATCTGTGTATGTAGGCATGCCGACACGTAGGCATGCACGTATGTAAGTGTGTACGCGTGTACGCATGCATGCATGACTGTATGTATGTAAATGAGCACATATGTATGTATGTAGGTCGGTGAGTAGACATGCCTCTAGGTATCCATATAGGTGCTTAGCTTTGTACCCATGTATGTATGCATGTATGTATGCATGCATGTATGTATATATGTATCTAGGTGTATGTATGTACGTATGTATGCATATATTTATGTGTGTACGTATGTCTTGTTCCATGCATGTATGTATACATAAAGGTATTGCCTGTTCCGTCCCAAGGCGTTGCCAAGTGATGAGGGGAGCCACTGCGGCCTCGTCTGAGTTCGAGTGACTGTGTGTGTATGTGTGTCGCGCGGCCCAAACCTTTCAGCCCACCCATCTGCTACACCAGGTGGGCATTCGCTTACACGTGTCCCAGCTCAGCGTTTCGGAACGGTGTCGTCGCCTCGCCGCTGGAGCAAAGCGTGTGCGTGTCTGTGTGTGTGCGCGTGCGTGCGTTAGTTGGCCTCCCTGGGCACTGCGCCGTACAGCTTCACTTCCGCTGCGCGTCGTGCGCCTGCAATCTCGTGGGGCTGCGCGCTCTTGCATGCCGTCGTGCTCGCTCCCTTTCCTGCATTTTAGCCCTCAGCCGCTGCAACTCAGCACTCCCGCTTGGTGGTAATCCTCATCAGCGTGCCCCCATTATATCTTAGATGAGTTGGATCCGCCGGCTGGCAAGCAGAAATCGTGCGTGTGTGACCAGATGGCATTTGGCGCTGCTCCCCTCTGAGCCTGGCGCGCGCGGGGCCCCGGCCGCTGCACTTGACTTTCTTCGACTCGGTGCTGCGCGCGAGGCCGTGACTGCCAACAGTGTGTTTGTTTGCGTGCGTTTGTACCTGGAAGTCCGCGCTCTTCCCACTTGACTTGCCCTACACCGCGCCGCCGCGAGAGTGGCCGAGACGCCAGAAAGTGTGCGTGTGGGGTGCAGCTGCAGAGGGATGCGTGAGCGGGGGTGGGGGGCCCTGGACTGCTGCGCCCCTTTACGAATGGTCGGCGCGGGGGGGAGGGGGGATGGCCTCTGGGTGGCCAGTCTCTGAATGTCTCGCCATGTTCGCCCCGCCGGTCTCATGCCCCCCGCACTTCAGTTGGAGCGGACCATGCCCAGCTGCTCCTCTGCCTTGGTGTCGCCCTGCCGGACAGTGCGTCTTGTTTTCCAGTCGGCCTCCCCTCCCCTTTGTATGCGCACTGCCTATACCGTGCCAAATGCGCCATCTCGAAGCAGACTGCGCAGCACCCGCTTGCATGTCTGCGGGCGTCGACCTGTACATCGTGTGTGGTCTGCGTGGGCGTTGCTTATTGACTTAGTTTGATCAAAGGGCGTGTGTCTCTTCCTCCTCACCCCAATACTTCCGCGCTCACTCCTCGATATTGCTTGTCCCTTTCATCTTATTGTTAGCTGCGCTGGCGCTCTTCGAATGCGATTTCGCAGAGTTGAACCATTGACAGGGAGGTAGCAAGTGGGATGCTGGTAAAACGTTCTGGGGTTTCTCAGGTCCCCCGAGTGGGGATTTGTGCGAAGAATCCGTTCCGCACTGGCAAGCCCGTCTGTCGATCAGGAGCACTTCGTGGGCTATCGGCAAGGTTTCTGGCCCCGCACCCGGAAGCAATGTGGGGAAGGTCGGCCGGCGACGGGCAGCCCAAGGCAGTTTGGGCTGTTGTTGCTGCTTTCGGCATGCGCCACGTGTCCCTGTCTGCGTTGTCGCCACCCCAGGTTGTACGCGCTCGCACGGCCGTGTTGCCGAGAGTGATCGAAGGCGCTCCGCTTCATTCGGGAAGACATGGCGTGCCACGCATGCGCTCTCTCTTGCTTCTTTCTCCTGCGCCTTCGGACGCGCTGAGAGTGCAGTAACCAAGAGAGCAATCCTGGATGGGGCAGATCCTCACCAGCACCATGTTGCGCGAGACGATCGAGGCCGTCGAGGCGCAGGAGGCGCAGCAAGACCGAATGGAGCTGCTGGAGGCGAACAAGCAGCTGGTTCCAGGGGTAGGGGCCCACGATTGGAAATGACGCCCACGCACTTCTCGAAATCGCAGGGCTGATTCGACACCGTCTGTTCCCAGCCCTCCTGTGTTGTTTGATCCTCGTTTTGAATCTGCAGCGCCGCGCGTCTCACTCCATCTCCTTCTCCTCCACCCCCGCCTCCTTTGTATTATCAATGTGCGGGTCCACTTCGGCACACCCCTCACAGGTTTCATCTTCCCAGAGGGAGCTCCAACTACGGCCCCAGCGGGAAAGTCTGCATGGCGTACGGGCGACTGCTCTTGCAAAGCCCCTTCTACGCTTCGCCCCCCCGTAAGGAGCTCCACCTATTGCTCCTGTGGGAACCGCAATGGCACACCCCTTACCCGTCGCCCCCTCCCCCCCCCCCGTAGGGAGCTCTACTTGCGGCCACTGTGGGAAAATTCGCACGGCGCGTGCGGGCCGATCTCAGCAGACCCCTCGGGCGCTCCGTGCCCTCTCGGGCAGGCCCTTTCGGCCATCCCAACGCGCCTGCGGCCCCGGTGGGAAAGCCTGCACGACGCACGCGGGCCCGCTCCGGCACACCTCTCAAACGTCTCGCTCTCGTGAAGGGGTCATTTACGGCCCCAGTGGGAACGCACGCCCCCCACCCCCCCCTCCCCCCACCCCCGCGCCCGTGCCGGCCAGCATCGGCACAGCCCTCATACGTTTCGCACGTTTCGTGCCCCTTCTGGAGGCCCACCTGCGGCCCCAGAGTCTGCTATAGGCAGGGTTGCAGCGGCAGGTGTGCATGCGTGTCTCACCCATGTCGGCACATCCCGAGTCGACACATCCCTCACACCCAAGCTATTTTCAACGCCTTCCTACCTACTCCATGTTTCCACCAACTTCTTCCGATCGGTGGGTGCATGATGCTACTAAGGGTTGGGTCTCTCACCAGGCTGAGGTTGAGTTCTGCTTGGCGTTGACCGACACTGCCGATAAAGGTTGCAGCTTGTAGTCGTTTGGCAATGTGTGCTTCGTGACGTTTCGGGTCAACCCTCTCACGCTAGTCAATATCATGTGGAATCAGTTGACTTGGCTCGAATGACGCAGTACTTGTGCGCGTTGCCCTGGTAATCCCTTGACGCTCATATCTGGTGCTGCCCTGTGCGCTGCATGGAGTTCGATGGCCAATCAGCTGCGCCGACTCCTCCCTCACTGGCTCTTCCTGCTGGAGCAGAGGTTTGTGAGTGGCTCTGCTCATGCTGTTGCGGGATGCTTTTCTGAATCGTGTGCCGTTTGTGCTTCCGTGGCGTCGCTAATGCAGTCGATCCCGGTCCCTGCGCATGGTTTGTGGTGGCATTCGGCCATCCTGCCACCATGATTGGGTTGTGGGCCAGGGTCCTCTTTGACGCCTCTCAGGGTCTCCTGGGGTGCCTCTTGTGGGCCTCATGCAGGCCTCGTGGTGACTCTCCAGCGCCTCGAGGTCCTCTTTGAGGCCTCGTGGGCCTGTGGGGAGTCTCCTGGCGTTCTCGGGGGCTATCTTGGCACGAGAGGTCTCCCGGGGCCCCCTCTGGGGCCGAAAGCATTCAAAGATACCAGGTTGTGAACGTATGCCCGATCTCGGGAATGTCATGTGGAACACTCTGGGAGCGCCCGTGAGCTGGGAGTCTGGGCTTCTCGAACGGATTTGCAACATCCAGCTGTCTGCATCAAACCCCGCCACAGTGCCTGGGCAACAGCGTAACCGAGGGAGGTCCTTAATTATTGCCCCCCCTGTTTCTCCCGGCGGGAAATAAAATCGCCCCTCCTCCTCATCCTGCTCCTCCTCCTCTTCCTCCTCCTACTATTCCTTCTCCTCCTCCCCACCTTCTCCTCCTCGTGCTCCTCCTCCTCCTCCTCCTCCTCCTCCTCCTCCTCCTCCTCTCCTCGTCTGATTCCCAAGGAGTTTGAATTCTTAACGCTTCGCGCTCCAGGAACGCCGCCCTGGAGAGCTGCCCTTCCCGGGGGAGCGTGTCATCGTTTGGAGAGCTCGGGTAGCCTCCGTGGTCCAGAGGCGTCTCGGATGCCTCTCGGAGTCTCTTGGGATGCCTCTCGGGGTCTTGGAGACTTCTTGGGGCGTCGGGGGCCTCTTGGGGCGCCTTGGGGGGGCCTCTTGGACGCCTCTTGAGCCTCGTGGCGGTATTCAGAGTCTCTTGGGGCGTGGGCGTCCCGGGTGCCAATTGGGGGCCTCTTGAGCCCTCTTATGGGCCGCTTGGGGGCTTCTTGGGCCTCTTGTGAGCCTCGTAGGGTCGTCCTGGGGCCCTCTTGGGCCGACTCGGCGCCCGCTTGGGCTGACTTGCAGCTATCTTGGAGGCATCTTGGGCCCGCTTGGGCGGTCGCAAACCCAGACAGGTGAGAACCTCACAATTTTTCTCAAATGCCAACGGACAACACAGCGTTTTTGCGTCCTCGGGCTCTCCTGGAGGGCCTCTTGAAGCCCTCTTGGGCCGTCTTGGAGGCCTCTTGGGGTGTCTCGAGGCCGTCTTGAGAGCCTCTTGAGTGGTCTCGGGCCAACGTGGGCCGTCTTGGTGCTATCCTGACCGTCTTGGAAGCCGTCTTGGAGGCTATCCTGGCCGTCTCGAGGCGTGAAAGAGCGCTGGAGAGCAACTACATTTGGGGCAGGCCCCAGAAATCACAACAAGTACACGCAAGACAATCGAATGCACACGCCCACTCCTTGCAGGCACGCTGAAGGCAAAACGAGGAAGTACGAACAACAACACGAAAACGAAACACACCGCTTAGGTTTAGCCCTGCTTATTTCCTCCCTCTTGCACGCTGGACGATTCGCCTTTCGGTTGCCCCGAATGGCCACGCGCTGGAGCGGACTGCTTCTGCCTCGCCGCCGACGAATCAAGCGTGGTGTCTGGCCCTCTCCAAGGCCACGTAGGATCTGTGGAAGGCTCCTACGACTTCAGCCATCAGCGCGGCCAGTGACAGTCTTTCGCGACATGAGTATCTGGATATGGTGGGTTCTGCAGCCGGCAGAGCTCATTATGATTCCTCCGATTCGATTCGATTCAATTTCGGTGGCTTCCAATTCCCATTCAATTCAACTTCAGATTCCGATTTTGTTTCCGATCTCTTATTGGAGGCATACGAGCCTGTCAATTTCTGCCGATTCGTCTTTTCCCGACGAGGCTGCCGATGTCCGCCGATTCGATTCGATCGCTGATCTGACTTATCGATTCGATTCGGGGCTTTCTGTGGTCATCTGGATATGGTGGTTTTGCAGTCGGACGTGCCGACAGTAGGGACTCCCTGACCTGAGCCAGAGGTCGTGGGCGAAGTCCTCGGGCAACGCTGTACCACAGGATTCTCCATTCAAGCGTCTGCGTGTATGAGCACTCCGAGCTTCTTATCAAGCGTCGGGGGGGCGTCACCCCCGCCGACAGCCCCACATCGACCCCCGTCGCGGGCAGCCACCGCGCGCCGAAGGCGCTCCGACCCCGTCGCAGCATGACGACGAGGCGAGGTCCACCCCCGTCTGGGGGTACCCTACCACGCTTATTAAGACACCCATAGTACAATTCTGCACAGTGTGTCCTGGGCTCCCACGTATGATCTGGGATCACGGACAAGCTGTTCCATCTGGTGGCGCAAGTCAGCCTATGTTTACTAGAGTAAGGCTACTTGTCGTCAGCGAGGGTACGCTTGGACACGAAATGTAAAACAGTGAAGGTCCGTACATGTGTTTTTTTAGCAGCGCAGTAGTTTATGAGGGGTTCGGCATAGACGGTTCATGCCCCACTAGCTGCACCAGGACCTTGTGGTGTTGAAGCGTCGGGCTTTCAATGCCATTCTTTGCGAACCACCCGATGGACGCCCACAAGACATGGCTACCGACATTCCTATTCCATTCTGGGTGCCGCCTCGGGAATGGCACCGTGGACTACTTTCGTCGCAACCGCTTTCGGATATCTTGGCCTCAATGCAGCGGGTGCTGCATTATGATGTTGTGAGCAGCGACGCCAATTTACTGGTTATGTGCCCCCTTTTCTATCCAGACGGTGCTTCGCGAAGCTGTGCTACCGAGCGTCGACGAGGTCGTCGGCGGCAGCAACGGGCGACCTCAGCTTACAGCAAGTCACGCGATCATTTCCAGACATTCTCCAATCCAGCGTTCAGTCAAAGTGGTTTCCGGCAGGAGTTAATAAGTGCCCTTGCCGACCAGCCCACACATCTTTCAGGTCGTATGGCGTTCTCATTCTGTCCTGTGGCGCAGTTCGCAGAGATAATGCTATCTTGGCGTTTGCATCGGTCGTCGAGGTCCACCTGGTCGACGCGCCTCACAGCCCATAGTCGTTGTTTGCTGTTCGCAGGACGTCGCCGGGACTCGTTCGGGACGGTGCGTTCGCCCCTGGCACACTCACCGATCATCTTTGTTGTCTGTGCGATGCTGGATGAGTTTGCTTCTGCGTTGTTCAATTCGACTGTCTGCATATGGTCGCAAACTCAGCAGGAACATGATACTGTTCGCCGTGGGCAGTTGTCGCCTGGTTTGTGGTCTACGGGCAGCTTTCTGCACGCACGGCTTCCCAAGAATCATAGTTGGTGCTCGGTCGTTCAGAAATTCGAGCGCGTACCCGGGTCATCGTTTTTGTTTGTCGGGTCGGGCGAAAGGGGGGGGTTGGGAAAGGGGGGGGGAAAAATGCAGCTGGTTTCGGCCCCGCCGCCGGGCCCATTCCTCGATACATGGGGCCGCCCGGCGCCGGGAGGCGCCGGTAAAATCAGCTACGTGAGCTGATTCTCAAACCCCCCCTTTGCTATCCCCCCCTTTCGCCCGGCCCGAGTTTGCTGAATGCTTCGCATTTTGCCGTGGGCTCCTGCTTGAAAGTTAACCCTGCTGTCGAAGCGTGCATCGACACCGAGGCCCAACTTTTTATGCTGGCCTTGCTGCAACAGTGGAGGCGCAGTAACGTTCATCCGCGCTCAGCTGCGCAGCCTGGCTTGGGCATGGGTCAGGGTCTGCAACGCTCAGTGTCGAAGGAGGAATTTTCTGTGTTAGTCCGTAGCGACAATTGTGTCCGTCCTCTTGGCTGGCTGGACTCCGGTATTTGTGCCATCGATGCTGGGACTCTTGCGCGAGCTGGTGCAATCCTGGGTGCTTCACCTGCTGCAGGCCTCGCGCCTGTGTTCCTCGTCCACGCGCTCACGTGGCTTTCGCGCCTGTATTCCTTCGTCCACGTGCGCCGTGCCACCTACGGCACTTTATTTAGCACTGGCCGTTGCTCTCTCGGTACCAGCGCCCGCGCCCCCGACGGCGTGTGCAGATGTGGCGTTTGCGCGGCGTGGGTCACACACACAGCTGGAACCCCTTGACACATTCCTGGGATCGTTTTCTCGATGTTGGCATGGTCGTGGCCATGGTGCACGCCGTTGCGCCAAGTTCATTGCAACGATTTGTCAGATTGTTCGTGCCGAGATGTGTCTGTGCATCTTTCCAAGCTTGTTGGCCTCCTGGCGCTTAACAGTTCACGTATTTGAGTGTCAGGGCACATGCGGCGTCATGGCTGGATACCAGTGTTCGCTGGGCTGCTTAGTCAGTGCGGTGCACATGATGTTGCGCCTGTGCACTGGTAGTTGCGCGGCTTGCTATATGCGCTTTCTATTTTTATTGACATTGCAGTTCGAACTGCTGACGACTTCGGACGATCACACCACAATCATAGGCATCATGCTTGGTATGATCATGGTCGCTGTCGTCACCATTCGAAGACGGTGAGGTGTGCGCGTGCGTGCGTGCGTGTGTGAGTGTGTGTGTGTCTGTGTGAGAGTGTGAGAGATCGATCAGCAGGCTGTTCGTGTTCGAGTGCCTCTCGCACATGGAACATGTTCAGGGCAGGCGATCGGGAGAAATAGTAGGTTCCCAAGAACGACCGGAGTCAGATGCCGAGTCGTGTTTTGACAGCACTATTCTGGCAACTTCCTCTTGCATGCCCCATTCGTTTCCCTGCCCCTTCCGCTCTCCATATTTCCCTCTCCCCTGTCATAGGTAGCTCTCCTCGTCGCGTCGCATCCTTTCACTCCCCTCCCCAATTCTTTCGTCCGCTTTTGCGTGGGTGTGTGACCATGCTACCTGCACGCTGACATGGCGAAGATGGGTCGGAATTCTGCAGGAAGCAGTCGGGTAGCGCCATGATGCTTTTCAACCCATTCTCGCCGGATGCGGTGGCTCTTTTATTTGTCTGTTCTCTCTCTCTCTCTCTCTCTCTTTTCTCTTGCCAGTCATTTTTCTTGCATTACCACTTTTGTTTCTTTCTTTCTATCTTTCCCTCTCTAGCCGAATGGCTCTCTCTTTTTCTCTCCTTCCCAACCTCTCTTTCGCTCCACGAGCTGGTCTGGATCTGTAACCAAACAGGCAAGCCATGTTGACGGGGGGAGGCCGCCGAGAAGCAGGCGCGCAAGGATGCGAAGAGGGAGAAGGAGGCCGCCGACGCGCGAACGGCTTGCTATTCTTTCGTCGTTCCCCACCACTGTTCTCCAAGAGGAAAAGGCGGCATACACATGTAAACATTGTTAATTTCTAGCTCTTCGAGAGTTCTTTTTTTGTGAGCCAAGATCCTTCCATTTCTAATTGTTCTTTCCTGGGCCTCGTCCTGGCCACTAGGGGCCAGGAACAATTAGAAACGAGCACAACTAGAAATGAGCGCGATCAGAAGTGAACGACGTGTGCTTTCGGAGGTCTGCGTGGGCTTCTTGGATCGGCGGGGCGCGCCCGGAGCGGCGCGCGGCGCCGGAGGGGCCGCCGGGGGGATCAGCTTCGATCGAAGGAATATCTGAGCGGGCTTCCGAACGTTTATGATGGGCCTGTTTTCCACCACCACCACCACCATAAGAGTTGGAGGGGGGAAGGCGGTGGAGGACGAGGAGGAGGAGGTCGAGGAGGAGGAGGCGGAGGAGGAGGAGGTCGAGGAGGAGGAGGGCCCCCTCCCCCGCCAACTTATGGTGGTGGTGGTGGTGGAAAACAGGCCGATCAGTTTATGTTCATGGCGTTTTCCTTCTTGCTCTTCTTCCGCTTCGTTTTCTGACTTTTCTTCCAACTTCGGCATGTTCGGTTCGGCGGCGCGCCCAAAGGGGAGAATGCAGACGGAGCGGGCCTCCTCGGGCGGCTCAGAGGGCCTCCGGCTTCCTGGGCGGTTTTTCGAGTTTTTTTTGCTGCCAGAGAGGGCTTCAACAAAAAAGCCGCCGCCTACTGACGTTCCCTCTCACGTTTCCCCTCAGCGCGCCGCTGACCATTCTCACCTGCCACGTCCTCTTCCTTCTCCAGTGTTCGAGTAGGGAATCGACTGCAACAGTGAACTGCCCCAGATTTCTTCAATTCCGAATATTTTGGAAGAGCGTGTAATTTTCGCGCACCTACGGACATTCTAGGTTTTTTGAGGTGGGGGGGGGGGTACATCAAAGTTTAGACGGGAAGGTACATCAATTTTGCAGTCGATCTTCTACTCGAAGTGTGTAAGCTCTCCCCCCGCTTCCTCCTTCCTGATTGCGCATCACACGATGGGGTACTTTTCACTTTGAAGGCCGAGTTGCCCCAGGGCACCCCGTGGACACTATATGACCAAGCGCTCTGGGAAGGGATGGGTCGGGAGGAGTGGGGTGGGGTGCGGGGGGTGGGGGGGCAGGCGGGCGGAGGGAGGGGGTAGGATGCCAGCTATGGCGCGATCTCGCCCAGTTTGTCCCCTCCCTCTCTCCCACCTTCCTCTTTTTCCCCGTTTCCTCCTCCCCCTCCTCCTCCTCCTCCTCCTCCTCCTCCACTCCAACCTCTTCTGGTCAGGTTGCTTCAAGACATTTGGTACAATATGATGTTCATCATGCGGGCGACGCCTCAGCAGGCAGCTCACGGACACCGCTAACCCGTGGCACGCCTCCTCAAAGCTTCTCGCTCAGGCTCTGCTTACCACGAGGGCAGTGTAGGTGGTCACCCTCCATATCCTTGACCGGGAGCCGCGGATCCTCGCGAGCGTCAGCGGGTGCGTCGCGCACATCGACGACCCGAAGCCGCTGGTCTTAGCGAGCTTCCGTTGGCGTGCGATCTACTCCGCAACTGATGCTGGTTGACCCGCCAGTTGCCGCAGGTCTTTGATACTCCTGTTCGATAGCTTGTCGCAAGAGACGGGCAGCAAACATACAAACACAAACATTTTTACCAGCGGAAGGATCAGACCCATGGGCAGCATCAGCAGCAACACGAATTACGCAAGGGCGAAAGGAACGGACCCTCCCTTACCGAACAGTGCAGAGCCTACAGCAGCGAACCCTTGCGTAGCGGGCGGCGCAGCAAGACAATCTCCTGGTGACGACATGGGACGCAACGGCTTCGATTTGTCGGGCCATCGCCCCGACCAGCTTGCCTTGCCTCACCCAAGAAGCCTGCACTGAATACGCCAATCCAAACTTTGCAAACCCTGATGGCGCAGGCCCGGCAACACATAGTTTTTAGGACATGGCCAAACGATGCGCAAAACATGCGCAGCCGCACATCTATACGCTCAGGAGAACCAAGACCCAGCCAGGCATGCCAAAGCACCTTCCGAACACAACCATGATCAATTCAATGATTGCATCGCTGAGCTACGACGCAGTGGACTTGTAAAGGGTGCCAGCCTCCGTCTTGGATCTGCAGGTCCGCCTTAGCACCGCCAGCCACCACCATCTTCACTATCGGCTCACAGCATATGGTCGTGCCTGCAGAATCAATCAAAGAGTGGTTTGGAACTCCGAGCGCAATCCCTAGGCGCGTCAAACTCAACGGGATCGTGCATGCGATTAAGTCCCTATTCTATGTTCAGGGACGCCATGCAGACCAGTGCTTCCGAGATGTCCAACGTTGCATTTGAGCGCAATCGCTGGCTGGTGTTTTTTTGTTCCGCCGCGGGCGGTGCGGCAGGTCGGGGCGGGAAGCTACTCCTCGTCGCCATCCCTCGTCGCCCCGCGGCACCCGCAGGGGAACCCAGCGCAGAGATGTAGCGCGGTTTCTCGCTCAACGGCGCACGTGGCTGATGCCTCGAGCGGCCCGAGTGGGCGTCGAAGTGCCTGATTGAGCCCGACCCAGGCGCGCTGTCGGACCTGGCCCTGACGGAGACGCGCTCTCGGATCTTGGCCGAGGGCGACGCGCGGAGGCGCGCGGCGGCGACGCGTCGGAGTTCGAGAATTTCCCCCGCGACCACTTTTCGGCGGGGGGCGAGGGGCCGGAGTGACAAAGACAGGCGACCGCGGGCGGCGCGGGCGAGCTCGTCTGTCGCCTCGCAGTCGCACGTTCCGCGGGGAAGCGTAGGCCCACCGGCCCAGGGCCGCGGGCAAGGACAGCAACGCGTTCGCCGTGGTTCAGGAGGTCCACGTCTTGGGCCCGGGCGCTCGTCGACTGCGCGCGCGCTGACTGCGGCGTCGCGCGCGCGGCGGGCGCGACAGACCGCGCCAGCGGCGGGGCCGCCGCGCGCCCCCGGCCCGGCGCGCAATGCGGACTCGCGCAGCTAGCGCGTTATCGCGATTGCCAGGCTCGCCCCTGGGTGAGCACTGGGAGCCCGCTTCGCGAGCGGGGGGGCCCCGGGCACCGCGCGGCCCTTCGACGCGCGCCATCGCATATTCCGAAGCCGCGGCGCGGCGCTTGAACGCCTGGGCGCGCCAGGCGAAACCGTGGCCCTCGCGGAGGACATTCGCGACCGCGGGCGGCGTCGCCGCTGCGGCGACCCCCCTGGCGACCGCCTTGCCCCCCGAGTCTGCAGTGTTCGCGCGGCGCGCTGGTCGTTGCTGTGGGCTTCGGTGGCCTGGTGGTCACAAGGGTCGCGATGGCGCGCCCGGCCGCTCGGGTCATCGCGCCGTTCGTGCCTTCGTCTCGATTTCCGCGCAATATCTCAGCAAACTTGACGTTGCCCTCGATCCTACGCAGCGCGGGCCGCGACGGCGAACGACCAGCGGTCGCGCCGCGCTTGAGCTCCGCATCCGCAGCGAGCGCTCATCGTAGGTCACTCATCGCGGCCCGGCGGCGCTCTCGCAGACCAACTTTGCAGCGTGACCTACTGCGTCGCCGAATCGCACGCGCAGGAGGCAGCGAGTTTCGCGCCCGGCGGCCAGATGTCGGCCGGGCTGCGCCGAGGCTGGGGCGCCCCGGGCTGGCCGCTACCCGCGTGCCCAGCGCGAGAGCGACCTGAGGCGATGCCCGACGGTCCCCGCCGATTCGCCGTGTTCGATGACGCTTGGCGCGCGGCGCCCCGGCGCGGGGCGCGCTGCGGCGCCCGCCAGTGGCGCGGCAGTCGCCGCGCGGGCGGCCCTCCAGGCGAACGAGCAGCGCCTTGCCGCCGCGCAGCGAGAAGCAGCGCAAAGCGCGCGCGACCGCGGCGGAAAGCCAGCCCGCGGAAGCCGCGAGCTGGCGGGCAAAGCTGACAGACGCGGCTGCTGCTGCGCGGGGCCAACGCGGCCAGTTCGGCCGCGGGTGCGTCGCAAATATCCCGCGAGCCCGCTGGCGCGGCGGATGCAGGCAACCCTTTTTGGATATCCTTCTTCGCCGCCCGCTCTGTCGATGAAGCTGAGATCGAGGCCTCTGCCTCGGGGCCGCCCCCCCCCGCCCGCCCCTCCCGCCCCGCCTCCCGCCGGCTCCTCGCGTGCCTGATAGCTCGCGCGCGCGCGCGGTGCGGGGCCGCCGCTCGCTGCGCGGCCTCATGGGTATCGTTTTCAGCGAGGACCTGGCCCCAGTGCCGAAAGGGGCGGTTGCCTGGGTCCGATCGATGGCGCGTTGCTCGCCGCTCGCCGCTCGCCCGCGCCCCATCATTATCGGGAGTGCCGACGTCGAAGCCGCGCTGCCTAACGAGTTCCGCTACTACACGACGTGGCGGGCACGCCCAGCGCAGCGCGGCATCGCTCCCCAGCGCTACTTCGGCGATGCGACGCAAGGCGTCTCGAGGCCAGCGTCCAACGGGGCACCGCCGTCAGGCCGACGATGCCTTCCGCCGGCTTCGACGCGGCCTTCCCGTCGGTGCGGGCGCAGCGGCCGTGAGACGTGCTCGAGCGGATGGGTCGTCTACGCGCAGGTTCCTCCTTTTCATGCGGGCGCGCGGCGCCCGCGCGTCGACCCGGGGGCCTGGCCCATGGGCGATGCGGGCCCGGGAAGGGTGATGTTGTTTCTGGCGGAGGCTGGCGGGGGCGCCCTCGCGACGCACTTGGAAGGCCCTCGCATGCGCGCGCGCGGGGGCGGGGCCTTGGGGAAGGGGGGGGCGCGGCGCGCGCGCGCGCCGTCGCCCACCGCCTCCGTAAAATTTGTGGCTCGGGAGCCCCCTCGCTTGCCCGTGCTCCCAGTGGCGGCTCGCGCCCGCCCGCGAGCGGGGTCTGCTGGGATGGCAACGTCTGCTGGATCATAGTGGCGTGATTCTTCTTCCTGCTCTTCTCCCACCTCGGCGGGGGCGCTGCTGTGCGCGTTTCTGCTATGCTGG